ACTTATAAACAATAAGAAACACTCCCTTAGACTAGTATGTGCCTGATGCTAAGACAACGTCACAATCTTTTAGCTCCATTGACGATGAAAAATAATTAACATTGATGGTTTTAAGGTGAAAAGAGTTTTAAAAATTAAAATTGAAACAATATCGTATCTAGAGAGGATTAAAATTAATGGCTTAAGAAAACAATAAACCAAGTATAATCAATAATGCACATCATTGGGGTTTGTAGGGGTGGTCAAGATGTATGCAACCGTACCCAAATAAAGGGGGGAGGGGAGTTATTGTGTTAACACCTAACACCCTTTATGCATGGCTGCATTTTTAAAATAGTATGACCAACTCCTTTGTACCAGCTTCGAACCTTTAACGAGTGGGTTCAATTTGGAATGTTCCGTACCCAACAACCATGAGGAAGGAAGCCAACATGCATTGCTGCATTTACTTCCCAAAACTTCTTAGAAAGTAAAAAGCATAAGAAGTTTAATGAGTCATTTTGTTGTGCCCATTATTTACCCTAAGCTAAAGCATTGTAAAAATGCCTCTTTTAGCTCCATAAATAAACATAAATAACCCAAATACATAAAGCTAATGTAGAATACACTTAACTACATACCATACTCATACCCTTGTCTGAGTAAACAAATGCAAGAGTCAAATTTATAAACTAACCTGTAAGAATTGCCTGGTCAACACGCAGTTGATTGCTCAAAATCTCTATCATTCTCAAATCTGCTGGAACTTTGCAGCCCACTACTCATTCAAAGAAGAGAAAGAAAATTCATTGGAAATGTATGGCATATTAAAAAGGCATATATTAGACATTACAAATTGATAAAATGAAATTTAAAAAAAAAAAACTTAACGTACCACTGACTTCAACAATATCCCCAGGGACAAGGTCTGTAGCTGGTACTATTGAAAAGCAGCCTAAAAATAGAATTTGTCCATAAGTAAAGTAAGCACACCGCAGTTTTTTCAGTTTAAGCAATAAAGACAGAATAAATATTTATGCAGGTGGAATTGGGACCTTTTAGGAGACTACAACAGCCCATGGAGCTTTGAAAAAAAGCAGCCCAATGTTATGTTTAGAGCTTAGGGGAATGAAAACAGGCAGTAAAATCTTAAGGGCAACTACATTATGTATGGCTTTGAACTAATGACTCGATCCAAGTTATACTTCTTGTGCTTTCGTTGTTGATGTTGCGCTCTTATTCTTTTCACCTCCAATTCACTTTAAGAGTCCTATTTCAGAAATTGTACAAATAGCACAGCTTATACTTTATTCTTGGAGTGTGCAAACTACGAGTTTATTACTAATACATTTTCATAGAGGAAATCCTCTGTTACAGTGTGGTAGGGTGGCAAACCTGTCCGCGAGACACTTGACCATGCCAAAGTCCTTTTAATTAAGCTTGCAATTGTATACTATTGGATGAGGTAAAGCCCTATGTATAATACTCCGAACAATCCTGGAGAGTATTGAATCCCAATTGATAACAATATTGCTATTAGGAGTATTAACTAAGATAGAATACTAATAGGAAAATCTTACTCCTAATAATGATAATGATAATGATAATGATAATGATAATAATAATAATAATAATAATAATAATAATAATAAAATACTAGAACTTATTATAACTAATAATAGGAAACTAATACTTATTTTACTAAATAATACTCCCTCCTTCTGGGAATAAAGTTCCCATTTTGACTTTTGGTCATTTTTATTGATGGTTGACCAAGCACTTGAAATACCTAAAATACCCCTCTTGTCCTTGTTGCTTTTCCTCCTAAACACAACCACGCCTAGCCCCCGCCACCGCTCCCCTCAGCTTCCACCATCTCTGGAAGGCCTCACCACCCAACAAGAAATCGTCCTCATCAAAACAAGAAATTCAAGAAATTGCCCTCATCTAAACAAGAAATTCAAGAAATCGTCCTCACCAAAACAAGAAATTCAAGAAATTAAAGAAATCCTCGTCCTCAATCATCCGTCCTCACCACCACCACCAGCTTGAGAAGCAAAATAAGACCTGTGAAGCAAAAGCTTTGATAAGGGGGGGAGAAAGAATAGAGGAAGATCGGAAGAAAGAAAAGAAGAAGAGATGCGAGAAGAAGAAGAAGAAGAAGAAGAAGAAGAGGAAGGGGAAGAAGAAAAGGAGGGAGGGGTGGGGGGGAAGAGAGAGGATCAAAAGGGTTAGTAGATCTGGCGGAGAAAGAAAAAGAAGAAAAAGAAGAAAAGAGGAAGAAGAGGAGGAAGGGGTGAGGGGAAGAGAGAGAGAAGATTGAAAGGGTAGATGTGGTGGAGAAAAAATGAAGGGGGGAAGAAGAAAGAAAGTAAATGACATAGGGTATTTAGGGTAGTTTGTGTGTTAAAAATTGAAATAGAAACTTTATTTCCGAACGGGAAAAAAGGAGAAATATGAACTTTATTTTCAGAGGGAGGAAGTAATAGTTATAATAATACTTCCTCCGTCACTTTTAAATCTTTTCATTTACTCTTCACATGGTCAAACTATATCATTATTCTTCATAAATTTTCATTAATCATTTGATAAATTAGTCATGTGATGTCACCTCTTGTTTTCTAGAGCTTTCTATCTAGATTTGGAATATATAAAATTTATTCTTTACTTTTAAACCATTATTTAAATATATTGAATTGAAAATAACTTCAATCAAAAATTGAGGATTTGCAATTTCAAATAGGAAGATTATTTGGGACTGGGGGAGTATTATTAAAGAATGTGGTGGTATCATTACTGGCCCATGTGGATCTCAAGCTTGAAAGTGCGTGATCCCAATAGTCAACATTTGCCTCAATCAAATGGCAACATTAGAAACCTCATGGATGTGACGAAATATGACTCGTATATGAATTGAGTTATTGATCAATGGAGCGTGAATAACCACATCAAAAGTAAAGGGTGTAAATATACCATGATTCAGTAAAGTTATTGATTTCCATTAAAACTTCTGGAGCAGCCAAAGTGCCAGACTTTGGTGTGGGAGTAGGCAAATCTTCTTGTAGCAGGGGCCACAAACAAAACAATTGGTGGTGGTAACATATTTGACGATGGAGACGATACGATCATTGCCCACGGATGTACTGTTGTGGAGGGGGTCCTAGCGTTGCAGTCCGCCATAGAGCATGCAATCGAGTGGTTGGCTCTATATTTCACAATAGATATAATAGTCTTGACAAAAGTTTGGTCAAGATGTGGAGATAGGGATTAAGGGTGTGGCGGTTGTAATTGATATTTATGTTGCAACATTCTTCTTGAATATTTTTCCATGAAATCCCACTTTGGCAGTTATTGCATCTACATCTAGAACGGAATCAAAGTATATCATCACTTAAAGTTCAATCCCATCATATATCAAAACTTCAATATGTTGGACCGATTTGAACCGTACACCCTCCCTAGACCATGTTGTTGTAGGATTCTACTGGTTTGCTGAAATTAAGAGCCACAAATGTGCATAGCCTAAGGCTGTGTTCCCTTCATCTAAACTCAGTGGCAAATCCAGAAAAGGTTTTGTTGGGGACAACTTATATATTGAAAGTAAATTAGAGTGACAAAAACAAGAGATAATTAAAAAGAAAAAAACTTACTTTTTATAATTGTTTTATTTGAAAACTTACACAAGCATTCAAAGATTCATCCCCTTTTCGGTTCCACAAATCATATTTCACATGTTCCATTACAGAAAAAACATTTCTCAACAGTTGTAGTAAAAGACAAACCAATGCAAGCTTCAATAAGTTATAGACCAAAGGAAATTGGAAATGTGAGATTTTTTTTCTTGAATTTATCATCAATTTGGCAAGATGAGTTAAGCCAATCACGATATCGAATACGGAAGGATATAGCAACAGCCTTATTTTAATTATTCTTATTAGTAATTCTAAATTACTATTAATCTTTATTATTAGTTATTATTGTAATTCATTATTGTTCTTTTTATTATTTCGTTATAAGTATTACTACTATTATCATTTAATATATTAATTATTATTATTATTCTAATAATAATAATAGTAATAATTACTTATTATTATTACTACTTTTATAAGTATTAATTATTATTAGTAGTATTAATATTTTCTTTATTTTTTAATAATTACTATTATTATGAAGTATTATTAACATAATGGTGAGAATAATTGTAATAATATTAATATTAAATTTTTTGGATCTGAATATATCTTATCTGATCTAAATTGATTTGAATGGATCTAATTTGATTCCAATACAAATACGTAATACATAGTATAAATAAGTTCAAGAGAACGGCACCTAACACTCCATGTTTGGGTGATTTTTTGTGATTTCTTTGCCAAAAAAACATAGAGAAGACAAAAAACTGATATAAAAAGGGTAAGAAAGAAAATGGCTTTGATAGCAAAATGTTACGGGCATGATGGAGATTTGGGCAAACTCATCTATGACAAAGTCTACATAGGAAGAGATCAGTCCTTGTCGAAAGCCCTAGATAGACTTGATCGTGTCAACGTCTAATAAATTAAGCTAGCAACTTTATACTATCGATTGAGGTATAGACATGTTTATCATTAACTAGGCTCCTAGCAATCCTAATGAGTATTTAATCCTAAATACGATATTGCTATTATTAAGGAATTTAACTACAATAGAATACTAATTGAAAACTAAAAATAATGATGATGATAGCACTACGACTTCAAATAATAATAATAATAATAATAATAACAATAATTATAATAAATGGTGTTGCTAAATCCCCTCCTCTTTTTCGTAAATCAACCCCATTTATGAAAAATGTCCAAGTTTACCCTTAAGTTAGTCTGCATGTTGCGTTTCCTTGTTTTTACACTTTTAAGGTTAAATTTGTCTATTTCTGACAAAAGGTGTGGATATACCACAAAAAAGAGCGGATGCATCATTCATCATCGGCTAGATTAAAATAAAACCCGTTTTGAATGTCATGTTATGAAATATGCCCAATTGAGGCTTATACGGTGCTGTTTGAAAAATTGATGGTTCTTACCCCTTAACCCTCTAATAAACCCCTCACTCCGGCCTGAATCGAACTCACCCTTCCAACCCTTTCAAATGCATCGCAAAGTCAACCAAATATGGGGGTGCAAATGAAGACGACATGAAAGTGGATTCGAGTGGCCAGGGTGGGAGTTAGGAGGATAAAACCATGAAATTTTTGAACGGAACACCATAGGAGTCTCAATTAAACGAGTGTCATAATATGACACCCAAAATGCGTATCATTCCGACCTAGCATAATAATAGTAGTAATAACACGCTTGTGTCATTTTAACCTAGCATAATAATGGTAGTAATAACCATGCTCGTATTATTACTCCCCACATGAACCTCAATCTAGAAAGCAAATAATCTCAATAGTCAATCCATGTGTCGACCAAATGGTAGTATAAGTGTAAGAAACCCATCATTTATGAAATTTCCATATATGCAATTTATGAAACGCTGGTGTAAAGCTACGAGCCTTGCATTGTTATCAAGGCATTGCCAAGGCATCTGGGCATTTTTATGGAGATGCCACATTGGACACCTAGCTTGAAAATGCCTAAGGCGATGAGGCACTTGCCTCTTGCCTAAGGCGATGAGGCACTCGCCTCTCGCTTGAGGCGAAGAGAAACTCTATTTTTTTAAACGTAACATTTGTTTAATCCCAAGGTGTGGTATATTTTTAATGTTTTACTCCTACTTTAGTCTTTTTCCCTATTGCTATTAAGGATTATTAATTAACTAGAAAAAAAGTACTAATAGGAAACTATTACTACTAAGCACTAATAACACTAGGACTTATTGCTAAAATAATAGGAAATTAACCCTTATATTACAAAATACTAACATTAATAATAATAATAATAATATTAATGCTCCCTGTATCCCACAAAGGTTTTCCCACTTTTTCATGTCCCAAAATAACTCTCACTCTTTTCCTTGCCCATTTTAGAAAAGAATGCAGTTTAAAAAATTTCTCTCTTTTAAACCAACTCTAACTACACACATTTCTACTTTCAACACTTTTCTTAATATTCGTGAAATCAAAGTGAGAAAATTTAATACTCCCTCCGTCCCATATCTTTCTTCTCACTTTCCTTTTAGAGCCGTCCCATTTCTTTCTTCTTGTTTCATAAAAAGGAAATAAAATATCCTTCAAAAGACTCTTTTACCCTCACCCTCTCTGTCAATCTAGCTCGTCTCTCTTCTCCTCTCCAAAACGTTCAGCCCTCTCTCCAATTTTCATCTCTTCACTACCTTCCCTCTTCTCTCCAAAGTGCATCAACTCATCTCCACCATCATCACCCATCCCCACCGCCATCTCTCCAAATAGAATCAATCTGTCCTCCGTTCTTTGCTTCGCGGCGACGAAGGAGCAAGGACGAAGTGGCGCATCGGATCTTGATTCATTCTTTCTTTGATGAGGGTAACGAAGGCGGCATGTGTTGCCGGTGTCAGATAAAAATCTTAGATTAGATTTTTTATTTCTTTTTCATCTTCTTCTCTTCATCTCAACCCATAGATAAGATTTTCTTGAGTGAGATGAGATTCACTTTTAATTTCACTTTGTTTTTTTGATTTTGTCTTTGTTGAAGAAGATGAAGATATTTGATATTGTTGGAGGGATTTGATTTTATTTATGTAGAGATTTTAAAATTTGACTTGAAGAAGAAGAGACATGGGAGACGGAAGATGATATTATGATAGGTTTGAGTGCCTGAGGCAAAGAAGAATAAGGGAAGGGCAAAATTGGAAAGTCAATACATTTTTCACTCTACATTAAAACCTGTGCCAAGTCAAAACGAGAAGTTTCAACTTGGACGAGGGAGTAATTTATATGGGACGGAGAAAATATTACTAATCATGCTCATATCAGCAACCTTCTTACAGAAGAATGGTGAGATGAATTTTGAAACTGACTTGCATGAAAATTTTCCTAACGCTGATGAATTATCAAGGCACAGAATCTACCATTCAAGCCTAATTTCAGATTTCAATCTATTTCAACTCACACTTTCACAACATCCATCTTCATCACTGGCACCTTTATCCTAGCCTAATCCCAACAAGTTGTGGTTCCTACTTAGCAGCATGAAACTTCACAACTCTAACATTAAAACTAACTAGGATTCAAAAGACATGTTACATAAGTTAAGTTACTCCAGTAACATGATGTTGGGTCCATTGCAATTGGAGCTAAAAGAGTCATTTTATGATGTTTTAGCTTAGAGTATATAATGGACCAAATCAAAATTGCACAATGAGCTTTAGTTGCTTGTTAGTTGTAAGAAGATTTGGGCACTAGATGGATCAATGCAATGAGAAATGGAGCAATGAAAATCCCCTCCATGTTACTTTCTATGAAGTTTTGGGCACTAAATGCATAAGGGTCTAACAAAAACAAGTTCGCTTTTTTTTTGGTGGGGGTAAGGTTGTGTACATCTTAAACGTGTACATCCC